AAAAAAAAAAATTAAATCATATTTGATGTTGTTATGATACTCTTGTATTTTCTCCACTTGAGTTCAATTGTATGTTTGTATAGATTTAAGTCATTAATTTATGTGATAAAATCTTCCTTAATCTTATAAATGCGGAATGACTTTACCTTAACGTTTTAATTTAGGTTTTTTTTGTAATCTGAAATGGGTAAGGCTAATACTAGTAAAAAAAAATTGTCTAATGGCGAGTAAATAATTTTTTTAAAGAAAATGAAATTTTCATTAGAAATGAGGTTATTTAAACTTATTGGGAAATTCAAAATTTTGACAATGATTATGATATTTGAGGTTTTGGCATTTTCACATGTGATGCAGAGAGCTACAGACAAATTGTACCAAAGCATGGGGCATGCTGTCAAATTATGGTCATCTCCTCACTCTTTCAGAAAGAAAGAGATGTTTTAACGAATTTTATTTATTTATTTATTTTTATTTTCATGCATATAAGAGTTTAAGTAAAAACAAACAAAAATAAATGTAGGGGATTTGTTTTAGTTTAGCTGTTTTTAGCATATTTTAGATTTTTGGGAGGGGAATTATATGCTCAACTAAGAAACTGATGTTAATTAATTAGTTTGGAATAAATGAAGTTTCTTTTCTCTTTCATTTTCTGAGTGTCTTTTTCTCAAGGTGCTGTTTTGTGATGAGAGCCAACACTCACCGTATGTGAAAACTTCAAAAAAAAAAAGAAAAAAAAAAGAAAAAAAAGAAGAAAAAGGATTGGAGTCATTGGATTAAAGATATGTTTGGTTAAAGGATGACTTTATTATAAAAGTTTTATTAGTAAAATAATTTAAAAAGTATTATATAAAAATTATTATATTTTTAATGAAATATTGTTAAAATTTTGTTAGATTATAAATTTTGCTGTGTTTTGATAAAAAATTAATATAAAAAAATTAATAAAAAAAATTGTTAAATGAATCCAATATAAGAAAAGTTGTTAAGTGAACTCAATATAATAAAAATTATAAATAATCTTTGTTTTTTTTTTTCTTTCGAAATAGACGGAAAAAAAACTTTACAAGTTAAGAATTATATTAAAAAAAATAAATGTTCAAAATGTCACTTTTATCCTTATTTTGGTGTAATATTAATTTACAAAAATACGTAAATAACCTTATAAAATGAAAATTTCCCCCAACCAAACGCCCCCAAAATGAAAGATTCCTTCATAGAGCATACGGATGAGAGAGCACGGAACACTCCAACACAAACGAGGAAACGACGAACTCCCGAACACATATGAGGAGACAACGAACACCTGAACATATGAGGAGACTACGAACACCAGAACACATATGAGGAGATGCTACATTGAACCCAAAAGACATGGGATAACTACTGTAGAGTCTTTATCACATCATGGACTTCTCCACACTCATAGTTCTATAAAACCAGCTTTGATAGACTAATACCACTTGTTGGGAGAGTAGCACATAGGTGAACATGAACACACATAAAGAGACTATATTGAACTAAAAAACATGCTTGTCAGGTTCATGGACCTCCCACAGTTATATTACACTCTAATCCCTTATTTCTCATCGATTTAAAATTTTATTCACATTTTTTAACTCCATTCACATGTTCATATACTCTAACAAAAAAATGCGTCAATGACTTCTATAAGTCAGTGATTAAATTTTAGGAGAGTGAGAAGGAATTTTGGAGAAAAAAAGAAAAGAAAAGAAAAGAAAAGAAAAGAAAAGGCTAACCCCCTAATCATTATCATAATATCATATATAAATATATACATATACATATAGGAAAAAAAAAAAAAAAAAAACTCCCTACAGGATGGGAATGGGAAATGCTGTTGCCATCCCTACAGATATAACTTTTGATTGTGAAACAGAATGAAAAAGGAAAAAAGAAAGAAACGATGGATTTAAAGGGTGACACAACCCACTCAATATTCATCCTAGATTCTCAAAGATAGTTTCATTTAGTTTCAAACCATGATATAACTTTGATCTCTTGTCATCCATGTCATAATTAAAAAGGTTTCGTTTTTAATTTTGTTATAAGCTGATTAAAAAGGTGACAATATACATAGCAGATTACAGTGAAAGATATCTCACAAACACAGTTAGAATAATGGACCTTTTATTCATTCAGATATATCCAACCCCACTTTGAATTCAAACCTTGAAAAGCTTAACAACAGTGGAAGCACTCACCCGGTCTCTGTTATGAGATGAGCTAACTCAAAACCATTCTTTAAAGGATATTTCAATGGTTAAAAATTTAAGATTCTGAGTTATTTAAAGATTTCACGTTGGCATGTCCTTCAACTAGGTATAGAATACCATCTACTATTGTATTGTATACAATTAGATGTACAAAAGGTCTTAAACTAGAATCTCCTCTAAATCATAAAGTTTCCCTTTTGAACTAAACAAAGAGAAATTGTAAACTTATCTCTCCATAGCATACCTTCAAAAATTTCAGCTACTGATTGGTTCTGTAGCATGCAAATTTAGGAATTACTAAACAAGGACTCATCTCTTTTGGTCTAATTGTACTGAGGTCTCCTGGTTTGCAGAATATCAAAAATAAATAAATAAATAAATAAAATTATCACAGGTGAATCATATCAATAATTGAAAAGTTAGGTATGTCTCCATCAATTGGTGCTCCTGCGCTTCATGGCTCACCAATACTCAAAGGTCAATTTTTATCAAAGGGGATTCCTTAATCTCTAAACAAAAATTTTATTCACAAAGTGATGGGCTATGATAAAAGAAGCTTTTAGTGTTTTACCACCATGGGGAATATTATAAACCATTGAAGAATAATAGGAATAAGACCCTTGGAAAATTAAAAGGAGAAAGGGGGAACCTTCTAATCATTTCTCTACTGGAAACAATGAATTCTTACCAACTCTTGTCTTGGATCCTCATCTGAAATGTTAGACAATTGTTCTTTGAATTTTTGCCCTATAAGGCTATAAGGCTATACAAGGCTCCGGGATCTTTGATATTTTCCACTAAAATTGAGAAGGGATACATTATGTTATCCATTCAAAAGAAAGTGGTGTGGTCAGTGTTCACCTAGCATCAAATTGGCCCCTTGAAGAAAAAGTAGTCTGTCAGGTTTCAGCTTAAGCTGGTCAAAAGAACCTTGAAAAAGATACTCAATGGTTTTCATTTTTCATGGTGGAACCAGATTGGGTCAGGAATAGACAATACCCTCCCTAGACGTTACCAAATATTAATATTACAAGAAGCATCCATTAAAGACTTCTCCAAACTTTTGGACAATGCCTATAAAATCAAAACCTATTTGATAGGAAATAAAATCAAATAGCTTCCTCCGATGTCCTAAAAGGCTTGTCTAATACATTAATTATAAAATAGTGAGAAATTCCAGAGGTGGAGATTAATTAGCCAAGGACAAATAACAAATTGCAAATTAGAAAGTAGAAACTACAATTCTAGAAGGTGTGAAAACAACCACAATAACGAGGGTACTCAAGTATAGTTATCAAAGGTAAAACACCTCAGTCCCAATCATGAATTTGGAATATAACAAGGAAAGTATAACACCCACTAATAAAGTGACTTACCATCATAACCGCCACAAATCCATGGTTGTATTTAGACTATAGACGTCCTTGTCTCTTCACAACTGCTTCAAACCACATAGAGAGTGGTTGTGTAAGAACCCAAAAAAAAAAAAAAAAAAAAACCCTACTGAAAAAGTTAGAAACAGGAATTAAGAGATTTTGGGATCTCATGCTTGTCAAAGATTATTTATTATCCTATGCAAAGCTTGACAGAAAAGAGCTTCATCAGCTACTGCAGATCTTTCTCATGCAAGACACAATTGCAACAAGAGCAGAGAAGAGTTAACTAATTAATAATAAAGGTGTTAGATATGATTGCTGCACTTAACAAAATCCACGAAATGAATTCCTTTACAAAGAAAAGAATAAATCATTATTGGACACGAAGGAAGAAAAAAAAGGCTGAATACTTGCAGTTGTGTATGTCTCAAGCCTGGGCGTCTTTAGGAACTCGATCCATGCAATTCACTCACACTCTCCAGCCTCAACAAATATGAGATGCAAAATCCCTTATTTTGTGTTGGATCGGGTTTCAACTTTCAATTTCAAATTAGATTAATCTTCACCTCATAATACAGCCAACAGACTTGGTCCTGAAAAGTTAGTTGTCATTTAGTTAGCATAAACTTGCTGTTTAACCAAACCACCCATCAGCCCGTACAGAAGGAGAGGTCCGAGGTTTCCATAACGTCCTCCTTCTTAGCCTCCCAAATATACCAAAAATAAGCTATATGAAACAGCAAGGTACCATAGGTGGTGATCTTCACAATGAAGAAGCTGGAAATACTAGTCAGGGTGCCAATCGAGAAATTTTCCACGTGTGTTTCTCGCTGACCTCTTGAGGAGAATATTGCAACCTGCCAAGAGAGTACATTTGGTACAAAAATTTAACTAACCACGGTTTCTTAAATTATGTTTTCTATTTCCAAGATGAATGCTATGTTCTCTTATACTTGAATGAACCATCTATTCATGGCATGTTTTCAAATGCTAGACAAACCAAAAGCTCGAGTAAGATAATCTTTTATTTTTTTAATTTTGGGAAATGACAAGATTTCCTTTACATCAAAACTGATTAGTTATAGAGGGAGACAATTTCCAAGCATGAATGAATCTGTATTCCATCAGTACGAGTTTCCCTATATTCTACAACATTATAGGTAAACCAAGATTTGTCAAAAGGCAATAGGAACTAAGTTAAACGAGAAGGGAGATGTAAATCCAATATATAATTCATATTCTCCAGCAGAAGTCAAGGCTTCTCTGTTTTTCTCCATTTGGGAATGTTCATGGTGAGAGAGAGGAGGAGAAGGAGGAGAGAATAGCTTTGAATTTCTTGGATGGATATGGCTGGCACCACTAAAGCATGTTCTTGTAACAAAGAATGTGAGTGTTATTACAAATGACAAGTCCAAGTACCTAAGTTTCTTAAGTATTGGTCCAAAATTTATCAGTTTGTCTAGGATCCAGTCCGAAGTCTGAACCCTAATTGGATCTATGTATTGAATGGTCTATATGACAAACAACATCCATTTGAACTCCAATAAATTGGTAGAGTAGATATTGGCCAATATCCTCTTTCCCTTCATATTTTATGTATCAATTAATCAGAAAGTCAAATAGAAGAAATAAACAACCTGTCATGCAAACGTGATGGCTGCCCTTGCCAAAACTCAAAAAGCTCTGGTTTAAGTCTGTATCCACCCCAGTACTTAGGTTTTGGAATCAAACTTCTGCACAAAAAACATAAAAAGTAAAAAACGAGAAAAATGGATTTTAGTTCGAACCTCCTCCCTAGGAATTTATGGGCTTCTATGTTCCCATCATCTGTGACATCCCAATTTAGATCATAATTGATCTTAAGATGTCAGCCAGTTAGGAACCATCATTTGGAAAAAAAACGTAGAAGAATATTTGAATCTTTGTACATGATTGAAAACTGGGAAGAAGAACTAAACAAACCACTATGGTCAAACAATAACAACCATAAACTTACCCATCTGAGTATTTTTCCTCTAATTCTTCGTATTGCTGATATAGAAAAAGTCTCCCAGGAATCACAGTACTCTGAAACAAGAAATTAACATTTAGATTTTTCTTAAATCCATCATATATATCCAATACATTTTACAGAAAACAGAAATACCACAGACCTGCTGGCTAACTATTGCTCCAAGTTGACTTCCTTGAGGACAGCTGTGGAAATACTGCTCAGATTCTTCATCAGAAACTTTCTGTACAGATCCTTCCACCCTCACCTAGAAATGACAATTCATTTTTGTCTTCATAAGGACATCTATCAATTAGTATACCTAAAAAAGCAAACTAAATAATCAGTTTTGGACCGCAAGAGACTTTACTTTGTGGCTGGAAAGCAGTTTGGAAAAAGTTACAGTCTACAGGTCCGGAACCCTTTCCTATGCTATTGCCTATCTGCAATGTTTAGATTCATTTATGAGGCTGCTACTGCTAGTTGGGCCATTTGGTTAAACACCATTCAGAAAATATACATCATACCTGGCATCTACTTGACACCAGGATCTTAAAATCTCAGACGGTAGTCTCTTTCCCAGGTTCAGAGATAGAGAAAAGCTGAATCTAGATTATTTATTAGAGTGATGTATGCAATATATTTTCGAAAAAACTTCTTAAAAACAGTAAAACTAGTTCCAATCTCAAACAATCACTAATTGCAGATCCACATTTAGAATGATGAAGTTCCGGAAGTACCAGGCCTTAAACAGTCTACCCTTCAGGAATATAACCAAAAAATGAAAATTTTCACATGTGAGAAAAACATCAATATGTTAAGATAGTTGATCAACATTCTAATTTAAATTCTTTATGCTTGAGGCATAAAGATGAATGATATAGAAATTGGTATCAGAAAAATGTGAACAGTGATTGCAGTCATTGAAACAGTCAGAATAATTCATATGAATCATAACTTTTAGAACAAATATTTTTTGCTGCCTTCTATTTTATTTTATTTTATTATTATTATTATTTTTGTTTTGTATCTAAGGCAATTGTTCAATTGCTCACATTGAATCAATGTGATTTACTTCACATATGAAATGTCCAAAAAAAAAAAAATTCTTTCTTACCAATAAATCATTTTTACAATGAATAAACAAAAGAAATACATAATCATAAACTACCTGCCGGTGAAGGCCTTGCCAGTAAAAAAGAACTGATACATTAGGATTTTCTGATAACTGACGAGCCTTTTGAGTTTCATAATTTGTGTACCTGCTAAGAGTAATTAAACCAGAATGATTACAAACAACATATAGCCACAGAAAAGCACAGTTAAGTGTTAACTTCATATTCTTCCATAACAAAGTTAAAATAACAATAACCAGACAAAACCATCCTTATCAACTCCTTTCAGCAGTACCATTCTTGATGAGCTGTAAGAGACAATAAGAAGGTTCAAAAGAGATGAGAAATCAAATAAATCCATGTATGAGTGTATTGTAATCAGTAAGATTTAAACTGAAAAACAAGTTTGCCGAGATAATCTAATTAGTCTTTAAATGTTATCATACCACCATATCTACTCTATGAGGATATTCTGAAATATTCAAGACAGAAAGTACAAACTATGGATAGTTTTAGAACCAAGCTCAACCATCCATTGTTATACTTCACACATTCGCTTAAACAACATGAATGAATAAAATAAAGCAAAGAAGCCTACGGATCTCCATCCTTGCTGGTTGTTGACAAAGACATGGCATTTGGTTCCTGCAAGCCGGCAGCCACTGCATCATCAAACCATTTAGGAAACTGCAAGATAAGGAAATGGTTAACTCACAATGCATAAACAGATTGGATAATAAATTCTGGGAAGTAACACGTATTAACAACGTTCTCAACTCAGGTACGTGAATGCTGAAGCTATGCTGCTAAGCTAAAATCTCATACATAAGGAAGCAGCCTATGAAATGTGTTAAACCCAGCATTTGGCGTACCTCTCTGATGAAAATCAAAGGGTTGTCATTGTACACAAAATCATACCTGATCAATCGGATTGGCCTTTAGCTGCTCCTCAAGGAGTGCTGGAAAGACATAGTTCTCTCTAAGAGCTGATATGTTAATTTGTAGTGACTTTCCAATTTGGACACACATAGATGCGCCAGGATATGCGGGGAGATGAAGCTTAAATTTCCCTGCAATAGATGGGGGGACAAATCTACCACCTAAAAAGTGGTGCGGACCACGAAATTTCTTAGCACATAATTTTGGAACAGTTAAAGAAACCTATAGAAAACTAAAATTGCATAAGCAAGAGTGTTTACCAAGACGAGAGAAAAAAAAAAAAGTAAAATATTAACAGAACAATTAGGACCCTATAGAAGACATACCAACATGTCAGGCTTAATTCCTTTGCCAGTAACATCTCCTTCCTCAACATGCCAACCGGATGGTATATCTACAGATACAATAACAGGGGATTTTTGCTGTGTTTGGTCATCATTGTGCAAGCAAATCAGCGCTTGGATCAGATCATCAAAAGGAGGCCTGGGTGTACCTGAAGTTGTTTATATTATGAAATTAGAGAATGTTGAACAGAAAAATAATGTGGATAATGATATAGATTAAGAATTTACAGAATGCTTGTAAAAATATATAGAAATCAAAAAAAGACAGTATGTTTTGCAATAGGAATTACAAATATGATGCTAGAATGTGACATTAGCACACAGCTTTCCCACGGTTCATCTAACAAACTAGTTCTTTTCCCTCTATGCAGACCTTTCAAAAATAAATTGAATCAAATACGATTGCAAACTGTTTCTTCAGAAATGGCAAGTACAGGAAGAATCACAAGATATTGTCCTCATTATTGTTACAATGACACAGAGAATACATGAGTACAAAATATGAGGAACCAGGACACTTTTAGAAGTTACCATGAAATGAGAACCCAAACATTGCATCTAGTAAAATGTCAAAGTCCTTGGACAAGTCCCCAAGCAGATCATCCACTGACAAGAATGGGATTGACAATGATTCCAGCTACAAAATCAGACAAAGAAATAAAAAACACTGACAAACCATACAGGTTATATCTAAGAAAAGTATCATAAGTTGACCCCCCCAGTCATACCTGAGTCACCAGACTATTATAAAGAGGCTTGGGAGTAAGTTTTGGATAGCAACAAATGGCTTATACCCAAAATGATACAGGTGACGAGCAGCAACCAACCCATCACCACCATTATTTCCCGGACCACATATAGCAAGAACACGATTATACTCAGCTGGTTTAGACCTGTACACAGTGTCCATTTTATAGACCAGAAGCAAAAAACAACCTAAAGCATTCATTTGAGCAACAAATCTAGCTATTGCATGATAGACTGTAGACATAGTGACTACTGATTAGCAATCGTAAGAGAGCAAAATTCTATAAACTTAGAACGAGGAAATTAGGATGTTTCGAGAGCGTAATAAAACGTTTCCGGGAAGCTCAATGCAACAGAAATAGAAAATTACCTCTGCTATTGATACGGCGACGCTCAAACCGGCAAGCTCCTACAATTACCATCAACCAATACCAATAAGCATCAAGAAGAAAACAGAAAGTGAAACCAGAGGATTTAGCAATGAAATCAAAAACTGACCATCAACTGATCGACGCTGAAGCCGAGAGGGCCCATGAGAGTCTCAGCTATCTCCGCCGCTTCACGCTGCGTTAGGTACGATACAGAATCCTGATTGTGCAGGCTCTGCAGTGGCGATGCCATTCCTCCTCTGACTTGATCGGATTTAGGACGGAGTGCACGGTTTGCAGGAGTTGAGATTGAAGTCGGAAAACCTTGATTTTGATTCAGGAGTGAATTTGAGTTGAGGAGAAAGGGAGAGGGGAGGGAATGCAGGGGATTACCGCGGGAAATATTGAGATAGAGTTCTGGAAAGTCCGTAATGGTTAGTGTTTGGTAAGGAAAAGACAATTATG